TAGGGTTTTAGGGTTTGGAACCCTAGGGTTAGGGTTTTAGGGTTTGGAACCCTAGGGTTAGGGTTAGGGTTTTAGGGTTTAGAACCCTAGGGTTAGGGTTTTAGGGTTTGGAACCCTCGGGTTAGGGTTTTAGGGTTTGAAACCCTAGGGTTAGGGTTAGGATTTTAGGGTTTGGAACCCTAGGGTTAGGGTTTTAGGGTTTGAAACCCTACCTAGGGTTAGGGTTTTAGGGTTTGGAACCCTAGGGTTAGGGTTAGGGTTTTAGGGTTTGGAACCCTCGGGTTAGGGTTTTAGGGTTTGGAACCCTAGGGTTAGGGTTTTAGGGTTTGGAATCCTAGGGTTAGGGTTTTAGGGTTTGGAACCCTATCCTAGGGTTTAGGGTTTGGAACCCTATCCTAGGGTTTAGGGTTTGGAACCCTACCCTAGGGTTAGGGTTATATGGTTGAAGCATTAACGTTGACCTTGGAGACACCAAGTTAGAGCGCCAGGCATTTCTGGCACATGTCCAAACAAGTGATATAATAGCTTCCACACGTGTAGGTGTGGAATTGCCTCAAGTGCCCTTACTTGAAATGTTTAAAGCTCAAATGTCCTCATTTTTTTATTTTAATTGTATTTGTTAAACGAAAAATCATAAAATTAAAATGAAAAAGTCAATATTTTTTATTTGATTTATAGAATTTTATAAAAATATTGAAAAAATCAAAAGACTGTTTTTTCATATTTTTCCGAAAATCATCAAAATATAATTTAAAAACGATTTTAAAATATATTTTTTTCAACTTTGAAACATATAGAATTTAAAGATTTACCCATGGGTTCACTGATCCATAGAGGGGGGTTTTTGTTTAGTTTTGATCGCTTGGAAATGATTTATTTGAGATTTTCATAAAATGGTGAAGGGTATGAAGATTAGTGGAGGGTATATGTGATTTAATTTTTTTTGTAGAAGAGCATCTTAGCTATTGACTCACACAGTGCTCCTTCGACCTTCCGTTTCAGCTCTTCGGTCTTATAAGATTCGAAGACAAACCTATTCATTACACACTTCCCTGGTGGACCGGCAGTAGATAGGGACCGTAAAAAAGAGATATCAGGAGGACGGTAAATGGTCGTCTCAGCAAAATGAATATTATTATTATTATTATTATTATTATTATTATTATTATTATTATTATTATTATTATTATTATTATTTGAGGACATCCTCCCTTTTGCGGTGGTCGTGGCCCAGTCCGTGATGAAGGTCAGCAGTGAGATTGCGTCGCAGATGCTATGAGAAGCAGAGACTGAGACCGCCACTCCAGATCCCGATCCGAAGAAAGTAACCTTGACCCTCAACAAAGGCCACTCCGTGGGAGAATCTCCAGGGGCCATTGTCGGGTAAAATCTCTCCAGGGAGCTAGCGTTGACATCTTTCAGAAAGTCACGGAGAAGGAGATCGGTGTGTGCCTTAGTGAAGACGGCTCCTTCGTCGTTGCAGCTGATGGTGATGCCTTCTCTTCGTCCAGCGAGTGGATAGAAGCGCGATAGAGTCTAGGACAGTGAGCTCTTCAGTTTCGCGGAGATGATCTCTGGCGCGACATCTTCATCATCAGTTTCGTAGAAGAAGATCACGGGAACGTTAGCTGGCCTATTCATGAGATCCAGCAGGGAGAGTTGAAGACGATCATTAGTTGAAGGTGTAGCAAGCTTGATCACTTCTCTCTCTACTTCTTCCATCTTCATTTCCCTCTAACTCTTCAAAAATCAATAGGTATATGCTTATGCTTAGGGGAGAGTATCGTTGATAGAATTGAAGCAACGCATCTCATGACTCGCACATATATAGTGGTATTCATTCTAGTCAACCCCACAAAATTAATAAGTTTATGAGCAGGCAACCATCTACATTGGTTACAATTTTTCAAGACACTGCTTTTACATTTTTAACATTCCACATTATATTTTCTTTCTTTCATCTAATAATATAACATTTTTCCACTTATAATAGTTTTGTTTAACAAAATTTAACATCATACCATCCATTTTTTTTTATCTCATATTGTAATTGGTTTATGTTTGTATTTTATGAACAAACAATAACCTTTTAGGTAGTTAAAGTAACATTATAATATTTTCTATGTCAAAACAATATTACTAAGATTTATTAAACAAAACAATTAAAACACACAGAATAGTTGATTAGAGGTAATCAAAATATAATAAAAATTGACGAATTTTTATATCCAAATGAAGTGTGACGAGTCTTTATTTATAAATCATAAAATGTTGAATTTTAGTGTATTGTTGTTTTAATAAAATACTTTTCCATGAAATAATTAAATTGGAATAATTTGAAAGAAGAAAAAAAATAGTTTTAGAAACCAATAGAAACAAAGAATGTGGATCATATCCAACATTTCTTCCTTTTATAGTTTTTTCATGTGGCAGAACCGGAACATTCATCTTTTTATTTTGAAAAAGATTTAATTTCTTTTTTTGAAACGTTCATTTCATTTCTTTCAATCCATTGAAAACATTCAACTCAGTTTAATACATATGTATTATCACAAAATTTAACAGCTAATTGTATCATTTAAATGTTGGGAAAACAATTCAACATCCTCATTGCTTATATCTTAGAGCAAGCACATTAATGAACCCCGTTGGGATTCATAATTTGATTTTTTTTATTATTTTTTTTCGTTTGATTTTTATTTTAAAATAAAAAATCAAAGTGATCAATAGCGGACGGTCACATAGCGTGGAGCCCACTAAACAGTAATGATCCGGGGTCACCACGGAGACCTCGTGCGACGCGGATTCAACCAAAATGGATTACTTTAATAATTTTTTTTTTTGGGAATCGTGTGAATTTTTCACATGATCCCCTATGCACATGCCCTTATGAGAGAAGATATTTACTTCAATGTTATTTTTTTTTTAAGTTACTTAGCTAAATAAACACTTTTAATGAATTTATTACAGAAATAGATTATTTTTGAGAAATAGTCTTAAGTAGTCCGAAGACATTATCTACGTGTACGGAGTAGTTGGATTTTAAATGTTAACGTAGGTGCTCGTACTGACATTTCTTCCCTACTCTTTATTTTTCAATATTACATTTTAATTCTGAACATTAATAATAGTTGATTATGAGCACTCTACTTTTAAAATAATAAATTCACACTAACAATGTAAAATACAATAATTATTAGCCATAATGTATGATTTAGTTTCACCAAATAAAAGAATCTTTAACTTTTTAAAGTTGTATCAGTTAGAGAAAAGATTAAGAAATGGTTCAGTTACATATACATAATTACATAATATTTTTTTTTTCGAGTAACATAATATTATTTAAATTAATATTTCTATATATATTTTATGTACTAGTAATAATATATGTAAATATGTATCTGAATATTTAAGTTAAACATAATTATAATGATTAAATTGATAGAAAATTTTTATATTAATAGAATTTTTTTTTTGATTAATCTTGATGTGTCTCAAACCTATGGAAGGACCCAGACTAATCTCTAAATGAAAATGTAGTTCACCGATAGACCCCCTCTCCAGATATACAAATGGGTTCGAAAGCATGAATTCATATCTGTGTAGATGTCCAGAAACAATATGACTTAGTTTCGGACAGTAGGTAGATCGAACCTGAAACATGTTAGCGTCCTAGTTCATTTCTTTTATCACTCTACCACATTGTCCCGGACAATAGAATTATATGTTAATTGCATAATTATAGAGACTTGTGGCATCTCCAATATCCTCAAAAAAAAATTTCAATATGATGTAAACTCAAAAAGAGTTTAAATTTTGCTGCAACTTTTTTCTTCATTTTCCCTTAAAAGAAAATATTCTAAGTGTGTTCTTTTATTGATATTTGTCATTAAATTTTTGTAATGTTTTTTTGAGAAAATAACTTACAGATTTTATTTTAATATAATTATATATATATGTAATTTTTAATAGAATATACAGTTATCTATATGAATTGATAATTGCTTTTATGAAAGTAATAATAATTTGGTTAAAGAATTAAAAATATATATTTAACATTTTTAGATATAAACAAGACTATGTAAAAGTTTAAGGATCAATTTGTAATAAAATATGTAACATTAAAATGAAGTTATGAATTGTGTTCTTTAAATTTGACATGCTACTATTTATATCCTCCTTTTTCTTCCAAATGGTGTATCACTGAAGAGAGTTTTTTTTAATGTTTACCCTTAAAATGATATACCATTAAAAATGGTTTCAAATGAAAAATGAATAATGTTTTGAGGTTTAGAATATTAATTAAAATTTAAAGTTTATTTTTTAAATCCATCAAGTTTGAACATTTGAAAAATTATTCAAATACCAAAAAAATTAAATTCATGTGTTTGATAACTTAGCAGATATGTTGTTAGATATTATACTACAAAGAAAAGTATCAAAAAGGAATTAAAAAGTGCCAAAAAAGTGAGAAGTGTTACAAAAATTAAGAAGGTAACCTGAAGAAATAAAGATGAAACTCTTTCCATTAATAATCACAGTAATATTTGTCTACAACTTTGACTATATAAGGAACTATAATATTGTGATAAAATATGCTCCTTTTAAATAATAATAATAATTTCGTCCTTTCACGTTTTGGTATATACTACCTCTTTCTTCTTTCTTTATGTGTAATTTCCCATTTAGTATGATTATAATCTTCATGCAACAAATAATAAATATATTTTTCATAACATAAAATAAAATAAAATAATATAATTATATCAAGAAAAAAATAAAGAGGATTTTATATCTTGGATTGAGAGAGCAAATAAGAAGGCAAAAAATTCAAAGCTAATGACTCCATCGTTTCGGTAAACACTTAAGAGCAGGAAAAATTGACATTTAAATCCCAAACTTACCAAACTAAGCCAAAACAAACCCAGACTCATAAACAAGCTATTTAAACTCTTAATTATTATACTTATACAAAACAAATCCCTAACTATCATTGACTAAGCCAAAAGAGACACAAGTTTAGTCAAACGTTAAATACCCATTAACAGACGTTTAACCACACGACGTGTTTTAATATAATCTAAAATCCATTCTGTTGAGAGTTTCATATCTAAAACCCTAATTCCACTCTTCTTCTTCATCATCTTTCTCAGAACCATTCACCAATCTTCTTCTTACCTCTCACACAAATTAAAATCGAAACCTCTTACTTTTTACCTATATTCTTCTCTTTGCGTAGATTCTCTTATATTCTCAAAATTTAGAGAGATGAAACGTGGATTAAAGCATGTTTTCATTAAGCTTACAAAGACAAGACAGTGGTTAGATGACACAATTCATAACAGAAAATAAGAATTCATGATGTATTGAAGAAGCTTAAAGGCGAGATTACGAAAACGAAGACAGAGTTGAGGAAGTTCAATGTGAGAGAGTCAAAGACAGAGGTGGATTTGGCTAACGAAGACAGAGTTGAGAAAGTTCAATGTGAGAGAGTCAAAGACAGAGGTGGATTTGGCTACTTTGAACGCCGAGATGCATAAGAACATGTTAAAGATGGCTAAAGCAGAATCTGATGTTGCAGGGAAGAGCTCAATAGTATCAAAGGAGACAGATATGGGTTTCCTGCAAAGAAGATGAAGAAACATGTTGTTCCTCTTTTGGGAGATTTCTTCTTCCTCAAGAAGAAAGGGTTTTCTACTGAAATATCTGCACCTCTTTACACTACCTCTTCCACTCTGCGCTTTAAGCTGAAACACCCTAAATCTAAATAAAATCATGTATACTGCAAGTACATGTGTGTTCACTTCATCGTGATATGTTTTTATACTAGTGCCTGCTCTTTATTTTTTTTTTATTTGATTCTTTGTTTGGATTATGTATGCAAAGCAGCAACGTGTGTGTTCCATATTTTTTTGGGTAATATGTAAATTCATACCATTTTCAAGAGTTTAAGTGTTTCTTACTTTTTAGCAACTTATCTGAGAAACAAACACAACAAGACAACCCAAATACTAGAGAGAAATTAGTAAACACAGAAGAACCTAGGAACATAAAAATAGAGAGGGGGAGAGTCAAGGTTGTGTGGTGCAGGCGAAGAACTGCAGGATCTACGGCTGGAAATTTGGTGACGGCTTGATAGACAGCAACCGTCCCTGATCTGGCGATCAACTGCTGCTCGAACAAACAGAGCTGGAGTTACCTGTGTGTTCCCTCTTTCACCCTATAACAGTTTTAATCTAATGGCATCACATATTAAAGAAAATTAAACATAGAACAAGGTCATCAAAGAACAACTCCTACGATTACCAACACTGCAGAGGCACTGAAATAATAAAAAACCAATCAAGTTGTTATGCATATATCATTCATTATACATTCTAGCCGAAATAAGAAAGAAAAAAACACCACGCATCCAAGAAAAAAACAATCCAGCAGAAACAAAAAGAAAAACATTAGACTGAGGCTTTAGACTCCAAACACTTCACGGTAATTGTGATTGTCCTTGAGACATTGCTTCTGATTGTCCTTGAGACAGCCCTTGTGACGGTTCTCCCTACAAAAAGAACAACTTGTTATTATGCTAAGCAAAACAATGTATAATCATCAAACTTAAGTCTTGTTTTTTTATCAAAAAAAAAACTTAAGTCTTGGTCATACCTCAAAATTAAGTCGTGGCCGACCTCTTGGTTTCTTTGGGGGCCTCTCAGCAGTTGCATTTGAACATGTGG